TTTTTTTTGGTTTTTGTAAATAATTTTTCTATATAATAATAATATCCTTGTCCAAAACATTGATTTTCGTTTAGTTTGCTATTTCTATTATCAATATTAATTAAAAAAATTATCAATAAGGATTATATCATTTTCAAGCTTTTTTAACTTGAACAAAATATTATACAAAATATATATTACAATAACTATATGAATTTTGAGTTTGAATTTTGAAAGATTTTGTCTTGTCTAATATATAGAATCTCTTTTTTATAATCCCAAAAATCTTTTTAATTATATTCCATAATTGCAAATATTATAAATTAAATAACTCTTTTTTAATTTGAGATTTTTATTATCTTTTTGCTATTTTTGTAAATGATATTGAATATTTCTATAAGATACTAGATAAACCTTACAATTTGGAAACTTTGTATCTCTCAGTATATACTTTCCTTATAATATTTTGAAAGATTTGTTTTGTATTTCTTCAATCTAGAATATAGAATCGGATGTATTGCTTTTCTATTTATATAATAGATCTATAAAAAGCATATCAAAATTACAAACAATTAGAATGTTTTGAGAAAACTATCCTTTGTGATTCCGGAAAAGGATTCGGTTTTCGGCAGAAGATGATATAGATATATAGATTCTATCCACAACTCTATAGCAATCTTTGAATTAAGGCTAATAGTTATAATTCTTTCGAATTCGATCAAATACAAAAGCATTCTCTAATATTAAAGATATTATAACATTATAAAGATCTGGAATAAAAAAGTATTATATAACTTTGTAATAAGTATAATTGATAGTTTTATAACTTTTTTGAAATCTCTTAGCTAACTTATACATTGAAAAATCTATTATAACTATATATAAAAATATACCAAATTGCTTTTTAATCCTTATATAATGTATTGCTTTGAGATTATTCTTTTTAACTAAATTTTTATTTTATTTTTTAAATCTTTTTTGTGAGATTTCTAGATTATTTTGTATTTTAGTTAAATGTTTATCAAATAGTTTTTTCAATTATTTTTATTTAATTAATTTCAATATATATTAACGATTTCTGGGTCAAAAATGTCTTCGATTATAAATAGAAGTAGCAATTACAATTACAATAACTACAAATTTTCTATTATATTTTCGAATCTGAGTTTTTCTGGGTATTAGTGATATAGTTGATATAGGATAGAATAGGATGGAAATGAGAGGTGAGGTGGGGGGGAGGAGAAGGTGATGACAAAATAATCAAAAAGAAAGCGATGATAAAGTAATAGAATATACAATACCAAAATGTTCAAATAGTTATTACTATTATAATTATTGAAATTATATTCAAATTGGGTAGAAGGTGGTTTAGGGAGCGTTAGTGAAGGAAGAAGTGGAATGTGAGAAGAGTATTATACAACGAAATGTTTCATTTTCTATTTTGATAATACATTCCCTTATACAAAAATTAATATATACTTGTGCTTCATTTTCAGATTAATCCAAATAGAATAGCCTCCAAAATATATATTCAAAGAAATAGAATACGAAAAAATTAATGTACACTTTACTTTATATAATACACTTATTATGCGAGGCATAAGCCAAACGGACCCTAAAGTAATAATCCGCTTGTAATTACAAAGACGCTGAGTATAGTATATAGTATATAGTATAGCGAATGGAATGGAATGGAATTGAATGGAATGGAGATATATCTCATTATACTCGAGTACTATACATATCATAAGATATTGAAAAAGCTATTCGATTTTTATATTTATATAGGAAAACATGGTTTTTGCGGGGATTTTGTCACGAAACGAAGAGGTGTGCGATGAGTAATGGCCAGAACTCTTAAAAAAGAAGGAAGGGAGAAGAGTAGAGAATACTCGAGTAATTTAACTCGAATATTGATTGTATCATACATAATATAGTATAAAGTAAAGTGTAAAGAAAGCACTCGCTGCTCGTATGTATCGTTTTGAGATGTGTAATCTTGCCTTCTACTAAACTAACTATTGTACTCGTATATCTCAACTCATTGGCGAGCGAGCGAGAAGGACGGATGGAAAAGGAAAAATAAAATAAAATGAGAAATGAAGGAAGAGTTTGATGGAGGGTAAGGGGGGTGGGTAGGTAGGTAGGTAGGTAGGAGGGGTAAGAGGGCCAGCCAGTGGTGAGTCAAGGTTGGGGTGAAGAGTCTGAGATGAGATATAAGGGAGGCCTTGATACTATTCTATAAAGTAAAGAGAATTAATTCAATGGATAGATATTCTAAAAGACCCCCATATTCAGATAACTCCCAGCACAAAATTACCAATCTCCGACTTCCAAATACAGATTCTCACATTTCCCTCCTCCCTGTCCCTACGATTTATCCGCATATAAAACAGTAATAACCTACCTAACGCCTCGACCCTGAACGTCGACTGCTATGATTAGTAACAACGTTATTAATTATGTTAACGTTAACCCCAGGCGCTGGAGCAGGCGGAGCATAGCCCTCATCATAATCTTGAACGTAACCATCGTAAACTTGATCATAAACTTGATCATCATGATACGAGTCGCGTTCAGAACGATGACTTGAAGCCACTGACCTATACTCAGAAGGGGGGCGAGACGGAGCTACCGACATGCGTCTAGAAGGGCGACTCGAAGTCGAAGTGTGTTGAGAAGACCCGTGATCGGAAGGTAATATCACGCGCCTGTAACTTGTGTATTGAGACTCGGGATGTGGAGCTACCGACAAGCGACGAGAACGGGGAGCTATAGTCGTGCCTGTTCTGTTGCTGTACACTGAAGGGTCAACTTCCCTTCTCGATTTTGAATGGTAAGAACTAGAACCCGTTGAGCTTCTTGGTACGACCAAAGGTGGCTCATCCAAACTTTCCCCCATGCCTACTATGGAATGTTTTCCACCAGGTCCACTATATTCTGATGAAGCGGGTGTGTGTATACCAAGTCGATCGAGTCGTTGCTGCTTATCCCACTTTATGATATCTTTATCTTTGCGTCTCTGGGCCTTTTGTTCTTCGATCTCTCTACTACTACCAACGAGCTGCAGATTTGCAGTCCTCTCTGATAACATTGAAACGGAAGAAGGTTGATCGTGCCGAGATCTGTCGTCATATGGAGTTCTCGATGTCGTTGAAAGTGATGGTGCTCTTCTGCGATCTTTGACTGTGCTGCTTGAATATCTAGAACTTACCCCACTGCCGGGTGGCGGGGACCCGAGACGACTGCTGGATTTTACTGAACCAGACCTTCGATTTAGCGAATCGATTAAAGGCCTTTCCCTCCTTTCCCTCTCCTTCTGAACTCTCATATCTTGTTCATATAATGAGCCGCCTTCTGAACCTGTCTTTTTGTTAGCACAACACAAAATTTTCTATGCTCACCACTCGCATCGACTGACCTGCGATAGAATTCCATCCCATGGTAGAGGTCGGAGTCCCCTTATACTCATCATCACGATGCCTTGTGGATCTACGACTACTTCCCCGAGTGGTGTCACTCGCATATCCACTCATACTTCTTCAAGGACTCCTAAGATTCCTTCACAAATGATGAGACAATGAACTGTTCAAGCTTCTTTGAACTTTTTAACTCTCAATATCAATAGATGATTCTCAAGGGGGAACGATGATTTTAATAATAAAGCCCAGTGTCAATGCTAACTGAATCAACCAAGCTTTGACCATCTATGGCCACGGAGGTATATTAAAAGAAAGCAGGAAGCCTACGGACGCACTCCATTCCGTGATGGCCATCGATCAAGCTCTCGAAGCCCTGCAAACATTTCGTTTGACTCATGTAATGGTCAACGTCGAGGTTCTAGACACGCTAAGCGCAGCTATGGTGGCTAGGGGACTAGAATGAAACGATGGAGATATACAGCAATTGTGGCTTTGTTCAAGTTGGTAGGTCTCTGGAAGACTAGATTTGGGTCAGAATAGGGCCAATAGGATGTAAATAGGTGCGGCCAATACCCCGATACAGCCGCAGCGCTTGCAGGAATAAACTATTTAGTTCACAGTATTCGAGTGTTATCAAGACCAAGACAATAACCATTGGCCGATCGGAAAAGATGGATGGATTAATTGCAAAGTCAATCTTGAGGCGAATATCATAGTAGTCAGGGTGAGCCACCGAAGTTCTCGACTCGACCAAATACCGGAGGGTCCCCTTTCGGCGCTTAACCATCATTATTGTTTGACATGTCAATTGATCCTTCGGGAGTCCAGCTTCACAGATTTCACATTCGTAATCGCTCTGTATGAAAGACCAAAGTTGAGGCAAGGTATGGTATGGTATCATTCTTCTTTATTCGGTCTCATCGAATACCGACACCGATCGTGCAATGCGATGCTTTTCCTTTGTATATCATAAGTGTGACCAATCCCATGCCGCAAAAAAAAACCCCATGGAAACAACCGTCAATCCCAAGCCATTTAGACTTCAGCAATTTCCCTCAATCTGCGGAGAGTCGATCTCATGGCCGCAGCGGCGGGGGTTCTGTTTCCGAACGTGTTAGTAAGTTGAAGTCTGGCATTTCGTAATCGTGGGTTGAATAGAGTATCCCAGAACATACGTGACGGTGTAAGCTCCTCCAGCAACGGTCTTCTTGCAAGATTTGCAATCCCAGATACCGACAGAGTGTCTCTTGACAGTGGTCTTTCCGCAGAAGGTACAGACGTATTTGGCGTGTTGGGTAATTTCCATCTTCTTGACTTGCTTTCTGAGGGATGCACCATATCTATTTGAGGAAGAAACAATTAGTCGTTTATTCGCTCATCAATTTGCGGCTATTCGAGTGTCGAATCCCCTCATTATTGATTCTTTTTATCGATTCCACCACAATATAACAAAAACATTGCAAAGCCGCAAATTCTTCCTCTTAATGATATCTGGGTGTGTAGAGCTGGAATAATCGCATACCTGGTACCGTATTTACCGGTGACTCCGACCTTCTTGGTTCTCTTTGTCATCTTGGCGGTATTTTGCGTTGATGAACGGTGATGAGGAAGTTGAAGATTGGTCGCAAAGTACTTGACCTGAAGTAATTTGGGTCAAAATTTGCCTGGTGTGGGCTCGGTTACGAATTAGCCCCATCACGTGGTGGATATAGGAATTGAATATGATGTTCAATTGTGCGCTAGTCCTCAATGGAAGCTCTCGGAATGACATCACATGATCTTCAAATATAATTTCTGACATTTGTGATGTCTTATCGTCTTATCCATTACCTTGGTATAGATACAAGAGTTGCGTTGAGGCTATTGATACTTTCATGTGTATAATACATTGACAGCCATGAAAGCTTAAAGCCTGCTTTTGACCTCGGTAAAAACAGGATTCTGCATAGGTTTGATTGAAACCGGATATTATTGACAGCAAAGCATATCATCCCTTTTATATAGTCCAGCATTCAGTAATATTTTACCATTTCCTATCTTCTATATAAGAAATCATGTCTTCAAACGATAGAGAGTACGAATTGGTTATCTTTGGAGCCACAGGATACACAGGCAAACTTACAGCGGAACACGTTGCCACACATTTACCAACAGATCTTCGATGGGCTTTGGCTGGCCGTTCATCCAGTAAATTGGAAGCAGTTGCAGCCGAATGCAAGGCTTTGAATCCGGATAGGTTACAACCAGGTGAGTAAGAACCTTAATAAAAGATTCCAACAGTTCGTGTAACCATCGGCTCCCTTGATATCACGTGGAAGCTGTAACCAACGATTTCATATTAACTAATACATCACTTGTTATAGCTATCGAAATCTGTAACTTAGATGACGCAGAGCTGAGTGCATTGGCCAAAAAGACAAAGGTCATTTTGGCAACAGTTGGCCCTTATTGTCTCCATGGCGAACGTTGCTTTAAAGCTTGTGCCGAGAACGGGACACATTATTTCGATGTCACTGGAGAGGTACCTTGGGTAGCGGAGATGATCAAGAAATATGAAAGCACCGCTAAAGCCAGTGGTTCAATTCTGATTCCTCAATGTGGCATCGAATCTGCCTTGCCGGATTTGATTACCCGATATGCGGTAGATGCTGTTCGAGAAAAGTTCTCGGCACCTACTGGTGAGGTTATCGTATCTTTGCACGAGATGAGGTCAGATATAACGTTTGGAAATACACAATCATGAACTGATATCTTTTAGATCAAAGCCTTCCGGAGGAACCTTGGAAACAGTCTTCACACTTTTAGAAGTGTTTAGTCTGAGGCAAATCAGAGCGGCAATGACTCCATACGCTCTATCGCCAATACCTGGACCAAGAGTCCGCCCATCCACATCCCTCATCACAAAACTTACCGGAATCAAAGTAGTTCCCGATTTAGGAATTCTCACCACTTCCCTTGCAGGTTCAACCGATTTAGCTATCATTCACCGAAGTTGGGGCTTATCCAGCGGATCAAAGTTCTATGGTCCTAATTTCAAAGTTGAGGAATATATGAAATCACGAAACTATTTTACGGCTATAGCAATTCACTTTGGACTCATGCTTGGTGGTCTATTCTTGGCAATCCCATTTTTTAGACACACGGCCAGGAAATATGTATATCAGCCCGGAGACGGAGCGACGAAAGAGGAGACAAAGACCGATCGAGTCGAGTTTCGGGTCATCGCCAAACCAGATAATGATCAAGCAAACCCTCCGAGAATGTTTTGTCGAGAATCTTACGATGGTTCAATCTATGGATGTAAGTGATTTTGATCCGGAATGTTGATAAGAAACTGACTAGTGAATAGTGACAGGTATATTGATCGCTCAAGCCGCAATTTCATTACTCCGAGATGACCACAAATTGCCAGGTGGCATATATACACCATCTAGTTTGGGCGAAGAGTACATCAACCGCCTTCAACAATCTGCAAATGTCAAATTTGAGAAGAAGGTTTATGAGAATTAATTGGAGAGAGGTTCGACAATGGTAATCAAAATATGAAGTATGAGTACAGTGTATTCGTACTAGGCAACAATCATTTACGATAATGAACTGCAGTACTTTTGTGATATTGATGTCACCCAGTCTTTCTTCTCGTCCAATCTCGGTTCTCGACTTCAACTCATTACTGTCAGCACCATACAGCAAACATTAGTCCTTCCGCTCATTCGATCCATACTGGCGGCGCTAGGGTGTTCCGGTGGACTGTACTGTAGTCCAATCTCATTTCATTCGAACCGTTTCAATTTATGAAAGCTGTGAACCTTAGAATACAGTTGTTTCTTGGTTTGGTATTTTAGATGGACTCAACATTTCAAGTGGATCAATATTTCAACTCATCGAAGTATACAAAAGGAGTTCAATAAACAAGAACCTCTCATTATTGTCGGACCACATCTGCACTTTCAAAACCCTGTAATTCTTCTCACTCAATTCATTTCCCTATATAAGTGTATCCAGCCACCCCCGTTCCGTCCTAAAACAAACACAACCTTTCTTCACTCTACCTATAAACTCCCAATGCCCTAAAAGAGCATCCGAGCCCCACAAAACTTCCCTACAGTTAGAGTCGGGAGGCGACTCTGGGCAGAGCGTTCTTATTGGCTTTTGCACTCTCTGGGAAATAAAAATGTTGCGTGAAAATACTTGCATAGTGAATGTTCACAAACAAGCGAAACCAAAAATAACAGGATAGATTCACTCCATCGGATGGATGGATATACTTGCAGGGAAAAAAAATTTCACAATCAAGCAAGACCCCAAAAATAGTTTCGAAGCACGCACAAGACTCCTCAATTTCTAAAGTCCTTGAATCGTCTTTTGACGTGTCTAGCAACTCACATCACAACTAGCCTCTAGATAGGACTTCAGATGGATGGAATAGAAATGGACATTCCAGATCACTGTATAAACGGATGATGATCCGACAAGTTTGTGAGGTATTCGACTTGCATAGTTGTACCGGAACCTGTGTCTGGCTGTGAACTCGAGTGCGGTTAGATATTGTACTCTAGTATGATGACAACAAGACGATATCCATTTCTCCATATCAAGATACCCAGATCTCTTGCGGGTGCTCATTGTTGTAATGATCGGCTCTCGTTCTCAGATCCGAGAAAGTAGCTGGACAATCAAGGACTTGACAGCGCCGGGGAAAATCAATATTTGGTATGAGATCTCTCAATTCTTTAATGAGTAGTAGTATACTATGCCATGCAGCATAGCTAAAATATGTTTGTATCGTATAGATATAAGTCTCGCAACTCAAGAAGAGTGTATGAGCAAACAAACATCATCGAAAACTCAAAATCCACTCCAAAATTCCCTTGGTTACAATCTTGTGCCCGGGTCTAACAACGCTCCTTCATCACAATTTTAGTCCAGCTCCATGGGTATCTATAACCTCCAACAACCTCAGTAATAACGCCGTCAAATGTATTCCCTATACTCCGTCTTTCTATGCCACGACATCACCACTCTTCCATACCATCAGGTGTGATATCTCTAAACCGCGTAGTGAGTGGGCTGAGTGGGCGGTATGTAACCAAAACGTCTTGTCAACTCTGCAAGTATGTCCCAGAAGATTACTTCAACTTTGTCAACCAGACGCATGAGAAAGTGTATTCCATATGGACTACCAGGTATATCATGAGATTGTCTAATATTACAACAGAGATCGTGTACACCACTAGAATCAATGCAATTTTCAGCGTTGAATTTTGATATGTCTCATCTTTAGTCGAAGTTTCGAAATAGTGCCATGAGATCCAAACCAGAGGAGCAATATGTACAGCGTAACCTAAAAACCGCCTGCATCATGTTCATGTTAGCACATGCGAAGTATCGTAAGTTTGTGGCACTATGGATAAAACCAGGGTATCCAATAGTCCGGACTGTAGTCCAATTAGAGAGATCCCATTGTTCGAAATATTTTTAATCTCTAAAAAGAATTGAATCATTTCAACAATTCATTATATCAAATATATTTAATAATTGAAATAATTTCAATCTTCTAAATCAAGATCATGTTTGAGATATATTCAGAAATTAAGAATATCTTATTATTCAACTACAGTCTGGATTATTGGATACCCTAGATCATTATCATAAAAATTTACAGAATTCGAAATTGCTCATTGCGTTTAGTCCAACGATAGAATCGACGACGTTGAATGAAAAGTGTAGCCCATAGGAATAATGTAATGTGCTATAGCTTATTAGTCTAATCATAACCATATTAAGCGCATTCGGTAACTTGCAATAAAATGAAACATCCTACAGAAGTCTTGTGGAGGGTTAAAATATCAAAAACTGGAATCGAGGGTGACACACCCTCTGCAGCGTATAACCAGGTTATTGTCAGTAGGAAAAATGAAGTCATCATGATTGTTTGTTGATGCGTTGCGTCGCCAATAATTTGTCTGAATCTGAGCCGTTGACTCGGGGTGGATGGAGTCGGCTATGATGACGAAGTAGGGGCGATGAGGAATGGGTTTGAGGGTTTGGATTGGAGTGGAAGTTGGAGTTGCTGGTTGGATGGTGATAAGGGCTTTGATGCCATGGAAGGTCTGTGAAAGCCCTTCAGAGTCCCAGTCCATGTCGATATCGATGAGTCAATGTGACTATGAGTCGATAAAGGTTTATTTATATTCCAATATTCGAAATGTTTTTAATCTTTGAAAAGTATTGAATCATTTCAAGCAATTCATTATTTCAAATATATTTAACAATTGAAATAATTTCAATGTTTTTGATATATTCAATATTTCAAATCAAAAGAATGTTTGAGATATATACAGGAATTGTTGAGCAGGGTCAGGTCACATGTTCGGCATTAGGCCGCATTGGGAATTACTGGATAGTTTTATATAAACCATCCTATAACCCATCAACTTCTATCTCTTTAATTAAATCAACTTTATATTTCCCCAGCCCTAGTTTCCCAATACAATGACAGAATATCAGGTAATTATATATTAAGGATATTATTCTTAATAGATTATAAATTCCGGTTATAAGGCAAAGGAGATTAAATTAGATTTTGATTTAATATAATAAGGAGTTTGTATTTCTAATAAAAAAGTTATAGCAAAAAGGCTACAATAATGAAAAGATTATCATTAACAAAAAATTCATTACTGATGAAAAGGTTACTACTAATAAAAAGGTTGAAAAGCAAATAAACAATTTGATAATAAGATTGAGGAATATAAATATTATTATAATATATTTATATACATATTTTGAATCACTCAAAACGAGATTTACTATGTTCTATATATATGTAAAAACTTTGATTAAATGAATTATTTATTAATAAACAAATATTTTCACAAAATTTGCTATCCTATACTCTTAACAATTTATACTCATATGTTAATACAATATACCCCAATTAACTCAAGAAACTCTAATATTTTGATAAAGTTCTTATACAACTTATATAAACATAAGTGATAGTGATAACAATAATAATTATAAATCCAAGTATTTTCCGATTCTGATTTAAGAAAATAATGTTGCTTAGTTCCGTTATACTAAGATCAAACTCAAAGGAAATAATTTATAGATTATTATTGAATAAATAAAGAATAATTGTTATTGGAAAACAAATAAGATAAACATAAAACAATCTTCTGATATA